TGCACGCGCGCGCGCACACACACACACTAGATCGAGGGTCATATATGTATATCAAGAGATAATATTTTTCGCAATAAATTCTTTATAGTTTTTTAAAATAATTAAATCGTGTCGATTTAATTCCGGGGAGGGAAGGTATTAAGTATAAGCTCACGCACGAGCCTGGCCTCTAGATTTAGATGAGGAAGTAACACACTACACGAAAATTTAAATGAGGAGAGATTGTGTATTTTGGTTTAATTCGTATCTCAAAATGCTTATTCGCTGTAGATTAGTCGTATAATCAATAAAGAAATATAATCAGGTATAATACATGAAAGTAAGCTGTGTAAAATATAGTGAAAAATATATGATTAGTAAAGAAACAAGTAGTAAAGAACAATCCTTTCTTTAAAGATGTTGCAGAATGCACCTTTGAATTTACTGATGTAATGTTCTATTAAACGAAACGGTTCTTTAGAAATAAAGAACTATATTGTATGCTATATGAATACTCTTGACGTAGTCAAGCATGGTACAAATTGTTAGATATCAAAGAAAGGATCATTCGCGTTAATCACACAAGATAATATAAATGAATATCGTTGAACAGATAATTGAATTAATATTTGAAGTAATGCGTCAATGTTCTTTTTGATCATAAATAATTATCATCGGCATAACAAACAAACACTATGGAATTTCTACCAATTAAAAGAATAGTTTATTGTCTCAGAAAAGTAATGTATTTTGTGATACTGTATAAATTGAATAATTTATATTAATTTATAATAGTAATATGCTTTCAATTCTCGTTTGACACATTAATTCAGTAGAAGAAACACAATATTCAAAGTTAATACATCGCAGATTAATCGAGCGCAGAATATAATAAATATATCGAGAGATATTATCAAAACGCAATCAAACGGTTGATTTTCTTATCGCATAAAACGTTAATAGACACGAGTCTTGAATGTTATGACCGTATGCATAACAATGAACACAAGTGAAGATTATAATTAAGTGTCGTGTTTATCACGCAATAACAACTGTACGACAGTTAGCACTTTACAATGTTCAATCGTTATTGAAATGGTTGCAACCACATAAAAAGAATGACAAGGAATTTATACTGAGCTTAGGTTTAATAATTAAACTCGAATTAAAGGTAAACGGCTTCTCTGTGACAGAGGATGTATTCCTCTCTACGCGCTCTCGTGAATTCTGTAAGCTAAATTAAACCTATGAAAGAACCGTCGGTCGTGCTTGTGAAGTTAGACGAATGTCGAACGAACTCTTGTAATAGATCAAAGGCGATTACTTTTTAGATGAGGCCCTTCTTGAATACGGAATTCCGACTATTACTGTTGGTTGCAATCATGGTGTAATAAGACAGGTGAATCATTCCCGTGGATGCGCAGTAGTACGCGCTTCGACCAATCCGCGTTTGGGTCCAAATGCACCCGCGAAATTTGAATACGCAAACAATTACATATAATTAAAATGGATTTCTAATTAAGATTTGTGAAAGATTAATGTAAAAAATACGTGGAATTAGTGGTGAGCTAAACAATAACGTAATGAGACAAGTATTCATTTCCATGGATGCGCAGTAGTACGGATCTTGATCAACCATATTTAAATCCAAATACTAAAAGATTGCTGTCAGATTGCTATCAGATTGCTGTCAGATTGTGTTATCAAGGTAGTATATATTATGCAATATATACATAGCATATATTAGGTGCTCTCCATTTACACTCAAGTGAAGTGATTCACTCAGTTATGTGAGTATGCTTACTCGGAATGAATGACGTCATACCTGCTTATTTTGGTGATAAAACTATCTCATAACAATACAGGTTAACCTCACTTTTAATTTGAGTCTGTTAGACTCATTAAAGCACACGGTTTCGATTGTGTGCTGTAGCGTCACAAAAACTCAGTTGAATCTCACTTGCCAGCATCAAAAGGAACGTGCATTTAACTGAGTTATGACGTCACAAGTGAGATTTATCTGAGTTTTGATGTAAATGGAAAGCACCTATTATATGTAATATATATGATTTTTTCTCCTACATATAGAAACCATGCCAGCGTGTTGTGTGCACAATTGCAAAAGTCGCACAGACTGTACGTACACAAGAAATATAAAATTGTTTCGTTTCCCAAAAGAATTAACTATACGCCAGCAATGGCTTGAAGCCTGTAGAAGAAATGAAAAAGAAATAAAAATTGATTCTGGTAAGTATATGTGTGCGTATGTGTATAATATTACTTGTTTTTAACCTGTTAATATTTTAGCAAGAATATGCAATCTTTATTTTGAAGAGGATTGTTTTGAAATGAAGTGGACAAAGCCATGTTCAACGAATATACCAAAGAAACAGATGTGTAAGTTGAAAAAGAATTCTATACCTACTTTAATGTTAAACGTGGAACAAAGACGAAGAAAAACTAGAGATGAAACAGATATAATAGCAAGTAAAAAGATAAAATTAGCGTAAGTAGTAATTCCTATTTATAAATATATATTATAAATCTATTGTGTGTGTGTGTGTGCGCGTGTGCGTGTGCGTGTGCGTGTGCGTGTGCGTGTGCGTGTGCGCGTGCGCGTACGTGTGCGTGTGCGTGTGCGTGTGCGTGTGCGTGTGCGTGTGCGTGTGCGTGTGCGTGTGCGTGTGCGTGTGCGTGTGAGTGTGCGTGTGC